GTAGAAAAACAACGAGCAAAACTGATATTTTACTGGTTTCAAATTGAAGATCGATTTACGTCACGTATTTGTGCATGTATTCAAAGGGCAACGAGGCGCCGTCACAGAGATTTTGATTGCACTTTGTCGATGGAGAAATCTTTGGATCTTTGACCTCAAATAGTTTAGGGATTCTGGAAAAAATTCGCATTCTGTATAGGAATTACCGTGTTTTACAGTTCCAAGCAGTTGCATTTTATGAAATTTGCTCTGCTTCCATCACTGACCATATTGGATATGCAGTATGGTTTTATTAAGAATCAGTAACCAAATTTAATCAATTTTATATGTGAAGGAGAACGACATATGCAACAATGTAAAGCGCCGATCTCGTATAACTTGTATTACACATCGCTGGTTTGGTCCGTCCGTCTGTTCCTCGTCGAGAACGAACGAATGAAAAAGAGACGGCGATGTCAAACCTTTCCCAATCGATATTTAAGTATGAGTTCACGCATTAGGGGTATTGAATATGACCCAGTACTGAAAATCGTACGCGATTTTTGGTATCTTGTTGTTTATATTATTTCCAATAAATAAGACTAATCTCGGAATGTTTAACATTGAAACTAATTGCAGCTAATTTGAAACTAATATTGAAAACTCTAATTTAATAAAAATTTTCATTAATAAAAACTTATAATGAAAAAACACAATGTCGCTTTCGAGATTTTTAAGCTAAGCTTCAAATTCAAATTTCAAGTTATCATGAAACCGCACGTCGATTCGTATAAATTAAGCCTTTCATAGTATCTTTTCAGTGGTGGTTCAGTACCACTTTTTCCTAAATACAATTTTTAATTTTTTGCGAAGGGTGCTTTGGAAAAACAAAATGTTCTTTTGCCATGCTGGGGCCATGCTGCATAAAAACTTAGGCGAATATGGTTCGTTTAAAAAATGTAGACCTCAATATGGCGATAGGCAGGAAATTTTGCAAGCGGTACAAATTTTAGACCATTACAAATACTAAAATATTCATCTTTTAATTCTTAATTAAGTGCAAGACAATCCATCTGTCTGTCTCCTCAAGTTCCAGTGCAGCTGAATTTGCCGTTACATCCAGTTGTTTGGAGAACTCTTCAAAAATACAAATATAGGCCTTGGACAATTCATATTTTTCAAACGCTTCATTTAGGAGATCATGAACGACGGGCAGCTTTTTGTAAATAATCAGATTCAGGAAAGCCCAAATTTCCTTAATAATGTCATATGGTTTTATAGCCTTAATGTGTGGATCTGTTTAGGCGCAACAATAATTGGTTCTTACATCTACGAAAAAACTCTAAATACTGATCGGTACCTCCATTTCCTGAGGCCATTTCTAACCGATTTTATTGACTCTTCATCGTTTGAACGCAATATGGTTATGCACTTCCCCAACCATGTAATTGTTGGTAGTATCGCATGGTATATCACGTTTTTTTATGGAATCAATGACTATGTATGTGATTATCATTGCAAAAAAAGAAATTAACGCTGTAACAGGAAAATTATTATACTATATGCGATCAAAAATGAGTTGCTGTCTAGTTACCTTTGGAATATTTGTTTACATGGGAAATCGTACTTAACTTGCACTTTCAAAGGCGACTCGACAGCAACTCATTTTTGATCGCCCGTTAGTTTAAATTGATGATGTTTTTACTGTAGCGAATATTTCAAAAATCTCGATAGATATCGAGGCGCCGTGAAAGATTAGTCCTCGGCGGATGTGACGCAATCTTTCCCGGGAAATGTGAGGTGTTTTTGTTCTAGATCATTCGAGAGCGTTTGTAAAAGGCCGACATTTCCTATACGAGCAGATCGAATTGCGATTCACTTACTTCCAATTTTAACGCCAAAGTATGAAATAGTTCGCGCTGTTTTACGTGAGTGATTAATAATATTTTAACTGGTATAAATCAATGTTTCAAAATTGTTATACATTTATTGTTTAGGTATTAATTGCAAATACATAATTAAATTTACGTTACTTATAATATATTAATGACACCGAAAGAAATGCAACAAAATAGTGTGACATTATCCAGTTAGCCCATACATTCTTTCAAAAAAGCAACCAAATAAGCAGTTACACTCTAACCTTTCTTTTTTTCCAATTTCCAATATTCTTTCTTCTTATTTCTCTACTTCGTCCTTACATGTATAATTTTCATTTAGCAAAAACAAAAAAAAACATCAGGACAAACTGCAATTTTCCTCACTTAATTTTTTTTTGTTATTTATTTTATTATCCCTCTCTTGTTCTGGACCCTCAACAGGCTTGCGCCCAATTACAGAGTGACCCGCATAATTCTTAATCGATTTTCTATCTCTGCTAGCTTCTAATATCCTTATATTAAACATAGTAGGGAACTTGCTCTATAGTTATATCAGTCTTCTACTTGGAAAAGCAAGTAAATCTTGGAACTATACGTGTCTTAGGGAAAAACTTCAACCAAACTACTCCAGTTAGAATGATCGAACTTAAAACAATTACAAATATTACATCTACTGTTATTATAGCAACGCTTCAAAAATTCGAAATGTTAAGAGCTATCAAATACAGCGGAGTGCAAAAAGTAGCGGGTAGCGACTTGCGGTTTTCCATTTTCAGACTTAAGAAAATGAATTCGTAATTTTTTGCTCAACAATAACACTTTAACACTACTTGTAAATAGTTGAATACTTGAACATTACCATTCACCACTCATGTGTATCAGTATCTCATTATCACAGTGGCTTTTAGTTTCTTGGGCTCTTGTCCGAAATCGTTTCAGTAATATTTATGAGGTTCCTGTGCATTGCGTGAAGTTCTTTTGAATGATTCCAAGTATCACCCTACAGACCAACGTGTAAGGGATGATCATACTCGGTAAAACGGATTTAAAAGCTTCTTTAAAAATTCTGCCTAGATTTATGTGTGGTAGAAGGAGGGAAGAATTAAAGTGGGTGCAACCCAAACGCCTTTTCTTTCAATTTGGAAATTGTTGTCCATAAACCCAAAATCGGGGGGTTTAGCAACGCACGGACCGTCAGAATCAACCTCCAAATATGGTCAAAACAACATGGCGTTGCGTAGTTCAGGTAACGGCGTGAATGAGAATGAAAGTCTTTCTTCAGCATGGAAAAATTAACGTGGTGCATCACTTGAATGTAGCGACTCGCTGTCTAATTTCTCATATTTCACTTTCATTTTTGTACCAGTGGGTTGTGGCACCGATGCTCCAGCTCGACGGGTTTAATCATATGGTGCAATGTTGTTGTTATCAGGGTACGTAATAAAAATGCTCATTACCATCGCCATAATGCCTCACTGACATCATTTTTACAATTTCTGTTTTTAAAAAAGGGCACTGGGCATGGATAATTACCGAACACAAATAGATATGAGACCATTATATTTCATTCAGTACCCATTTCGCTTAAAGGTTTGGATTTCATACTACAAATGAAGAATTTGGTGACCACATTATCAGGTTGCAGTTTTCGTTTTTGTCAAAATATTCTACTCTGCCGGTTTACCTTTGATCACTTTTCCAATATTGTGAAAGTTACATTTGATTTTGTTTAAATAAAATTTCGTTTCGTCATAAATTAGCCGAAAGCAGTATAGGTACACACTACACAGCATCTAAACGTAGATAATCACAATGTTTCCACGCCCCAAGTGTGAAAACGTGATTTTGAGTAGGTTACCTTTGGTTTTTTTGCAATTCCAATTTAGCTCGAAAGGTTCTTGAAGGCTGGCACAGTTTGGAGCACCTGACCCTTATATCGGCCAGTTCGGACTTTCCAACATCCGTCATTTGTGATTGTGCGGGTTTGGTTTGTGCCCAAATTTGGTAGAACATGTGTTCCCCGGTGTGAAGAGTAATTATACAATTAACGGTAAAGCGAATGAAGTTTTATGGTAATTAGAGGGTTTGCATAATATTAAACGACGTGGAGCAAGTGCATTCGGCGGCTACGGTCAGGTCGTCCGAATGTCTAGAAAAGTGTCGCGCGTACAGCTTCCGCCATAAATTTCGATTTTCATCGGGCCGAAAGTAGGTAAACGCGATAATTTATCGAAAAATCCGACACGCCCGGCGAATCGTGTGGGCGTCGCTGACATCATCTCACGATCATCATCATCATCATCGCCACTATGTATGCAGATGTAGATCAATGTGTTGTTGGCCTCCCTAAGTACGATCGTACTCGTTTCGTAAGTGACTGGAAAAAGTTTATGCTTAGATGATGTTGTTTGGTCGAGTAGTAGAATGACCAGGGGCAGTGCGCGACCTTGACTCTTGTATGTGCTAGCCTGAGATTTCTCGGCTGGCAAGAAATTGTTGTTGCAATCCCGCCACAATGATTCTCCTTCTCTTACTCGCTCATTTTTGACTTCTCACGCACTTAATAGTAGTTGTGCTGAAAAATTATACATTCTACATTGGACTTGTAGCACGTTCAAGGACAATAATTGTTCGCCTTTTTTACTTGTGTAACAACCATACAAGGCGCACCAAATTGCTTGTATATAGATTAGCGTCATTATAATCCGCGAGCACTAATTGACGTCGCTGTTACGTCACCAATTCAAAAAGAACTCAGTATGGGCAAATCGACTATAAAACGAAAAAAAGAGGGACGTAATTGCTCGAGGAAGTATTATTAATTCAAGCAAGCCATCACTAACTACTATTGTCTTCACGTACTATAGGTGTAGCGTACGTCATTTCCTGACTCGGCGACCATTATTTACGGGGGACCAAATACAGTAATGGAAAATTATAGCATTATCCCTTTATGAAATTAACTATTAAAATATTTATGATATTTAGTAAATTCCGGATGTGACCATTGACTCGGTTATCAAGGTCTAAATAGGTCATGATTCAATAAACAACAATGTGAGCAAACATTCATTATGAACGCACGAATAACGCTATTTTCATGAAATTTACACCTACATCGAGATTCTCGTTTTGTTCCAGGTCGCGAAGATCTCTCACCCCCAAGTAGCCTGAACGGATATAGCGTGGACAGCTGCGATGCGAAAAAGAAGAAAGGCCCAACACCACGGCAGCAAGAAGAACTCTGTCTTGTGTGCGGGGATAGGGCATCCGGATACCATTACAACGCTCTTACGTGCGAAGGATGCAAAGGTATAATTTGGACGAACCGTGCGACCGTTTTACCATTGTCCTTTTTTTTCAGGTTTCTTTAGGCGAAGTATAACGAAAAACGCGGTGTACCAGTGCAAGTATGGCAACAATTGTGAAATAGACATGTACATGAGGAGGAAATGCCAGGAATGTCGACTGAAAAAGTGCCTAAGTGTTGGTATGAGACCGGAATGCGTGGTTCCAGAAGTACAGTGCGCCGTCAAAAGAAAAGAGAAGAAAGCACAAAAGGAAAAGGATAAACCGAACAGTACTACAAATGGATCTCCTGATATAATCAAAATTGAACCAGAGGTAGGTTTCACTCCATCCCGTTAACATTCTGGGTGAAAAGTATTCGTACTCAAAAGTACCATAATTTGGACATTTCCTCTCATTACTTGCCATGCTGGTGATGAACGCGTCTCGAACTAGATGGCGGATGTTGTTGTTGAACGAGTTTACAATGACGAAGGACATATAAAAATGATTTTTATTACAATTTACATTGTTGGACAGTCTTTCCCATTTCATTTGGTGTTTTCTTGAACCATTTCTAGAGTCTCCGCTCCCATAGTCACACGGATCCAAATCGGGAGAGTACTGTGGATGTTGCAGCACAGGAACTTTGTTTTTGGCTACAGCAGGGTTCGCAAATGGTCTCTTTTTTAGACATTGGTCTCTTTTCTCAATGCTGGTCTCTAAAAGTCTCTATTTTTCATATTTGGTCTCTAAAGTCTCTAAATTTTGCATGTTAAAAAAGTATAATTCCTAACTGATAAACCGCAGAAATTTTACTGTACATTTTTAGCGCATTTTTTAAGAATTAAAAAAAAAGCGTTTTGTCCGTCCGGACCCACTTCTGCCGTTTCGAACTACTTCTAGGAGAATGGTCCTAGAGTCCTTGAAGGTGTGCCAGACGGCCACCAAATTCTCTGTCTAAAAGGGGGGCCCCCCCACGAATTATTTCCTGAGATACTGTTTTTGAAAGTACAATGTGCATAACTTTTACATACGACAACCAATTGGTCTCAACGAAAGGAACCGTGTTCTACCAACTATACTGCCCTTCTTCTGTCCTCTTATCAAAGTACGGGGAGGAGGGGCAGGGGGGGGTGGAATTAGTTTTGTCCTTCATGGTACTCTAATGAAAGGTCTCAACGAAAGGAATTAATTTCTACCAACCATAGCCCTCCTCCTCGACCTCTTATCGCGATCGGGTATATTCCCTTATACCTCGAGAACGGATTGTCGGAAGAGGGTACTCACAAAGGGCGATTGGGACGTCTGCAAGAAATATATCCATTGGTGATGTAAAAAAAATATTTGGGTGAAAAAAAATGCGTTTTATCCGCACAAGAGTTGTGCACAATTTATGTTTAGATATATTGCCGTTTATGTATCTCATCTACAAAATAAATATTTTTTGCTTAATTTGTATGGAAATTGGTTCTCAAAGGTCTCTAATGGTCTCTATTTTTAAATATGTAATTAGAGACCAAGTCTCTATTTTTTTGCTAAAATCAGTTGCGAACCCTGCTACAGGAATCAACCGTCTTGTTGCCAGACTTCGTCTGAACTCTTTCAGGTTTTCAGAATTTCCAAATCGCACCAATGATTAACAGTTTGGTCCTCCGCCCAACTTTTTTTATCCGGGGCGAAGGAGTCTTCCAGTGCCGTTTCAGAGTCATATTGAAAAATCGGTGCCTCGCCATAATTTTTAGGAAATCTGGTTGACCCGAGATGGTTTCCAAAATGTTAGTGAACATCGTTTTTCACGTCTCTTGTTGCTCATCACTCGTTGGCGCTATTTCTGCGTACATTTTTTTGAAGTTCGGACCTTCAATTAAAATTTTAGCAACACACCTAATACTCAAGAAGATCACCAATTTTTGTAACAGTTTCGTCTGTGCGCGATGTGGGAGGACTTGTACTCGATCGCAACTTCTCGAACGTCTCTAATTCTGTTGTGACTCTCACACATTCCGGCGCGAACAACCCTAAACTGGCTCCTTTTCCGTTCTTCTGAGAACAAAGGTGGATTTGCGGTTGCATTTTTATCACAACAAACCGCGTGGTCTAGAAACGTAAAATTTGGTATATGTACAGGGTGGTTCAAGTACAGTGTTGGTAAAATGGGGCAAATTTCCCCCTTTTTGTGACTAACAAAACGCATTTCACGCAATTCAAATTTTTGAAAAATCTTCTCCGAAAAACCGTAAATGTCAAATTTCCCTTTCATTTTCCTTAGCTTAAACAATCGGAGATAGACGGCTCCCGTTTGCACCTTTTATGGGCACTTTTTCTCAGAGAATTTGAATCGGTTATCAGAATTTCCATACCACGCTAGATGTAGACGCTACAGGCTACTACTTTCTTCCTTCTTGTGGACGCCATATTGAATTTTTATGGAGTGAGATAAAGAACAAAAAAAAATTCGTTTGAATGCATCGCCATCATGTTGATTTGGCAAGTATGCCCATAACAGGGACTAAGGAGAACCGTTTAAGCTAGGGAAAATGGCATGACATTTTCAGTTTTTCGGTGATATCTCAGTTATTTTCAAAGTTTTTTCCAATAATTTTGTAGTCACCAAAAGGGGCAACCTTGCCCGCCATTTAATCTACATTGTATCTCTCACCGTTGCGGAGATCCCAATGGTGAGCCATCAAGTAAAACCAGTCTGTACATACCACAAGAAAAAAGAAGAAAAATTTACTGAATCAACTTTCTTATTTGTGGGTCGATTATTTTGAAATTTTTGCAATAAAAGCAAACTCAGTACTTCAAATGCGAATAAATCAAAAGTGGAGTACCGGAAGGGGGTACTCTCAAAGGAAAAATGATAGATGTCGACGAGACGCATCCGTAGGTGGGATCAAAACTTCAAATGTGAATTTCTCAAAAACGAATTGTCGGAAAAGGGTACTTACAAAGCGAAAATGATATATTTCGACGAAGCGCATGCATTGGGGGGTTAAAAATTCAAATGTGGATATCTCTAAAACAGAGAGTCATAGTAGGGTACTTACAAATGATACCTACATGTTTGATACTAGGTTTAGTTGTCTCGTAGTTATTATAATTGTGTCCTGTAAAAATGAGAAAGTTAGTGAGTTCAGGAAATCCTTTCTTAGTGCTCCCCTACAATCCCCACCGCATGCCGAATTTTCTACACCCAGTAGTTTCAGCTGTGCGTTATCTGCCAGTATAATGAAAGAGTTTAATATACTACTGACTTGATTTTCAACGTTAAGTATCCCCTCATTGTTTTTGGTGTTTATACACAAATAATATCTACATGATGTTGTTTACACAAGACTTCCCCTCCTTAAATTGAATACAAAATCAAAATTAGATCACTCCCCTTTCAATACAAAACAAAACCATTGGAATTATGGTTCAATTTACTAACTGAACTTCCTTAAATACGCCGGGATTTGCCTTCAACTGTCGGACACGATTGTCTAAAAACAATTCCCTAGTCAAATTGAGACATTCCGTAAAACCTCATCCTCCATACCATAAATTGTTCCCTATCCTTTATCAATTCCTGTGTTAACTCTGCCTCTCACTCATCTAATTTAACTCAATGTGTCTTTAAAAAAACTTTCATTAATAAAATGTTCATTTCGTACCACCCCAATTCATTAATAAAATAAATCGCTATGTACAAAATTTTCTCCTCTTCTACATTTATTATTAACCTATCTCATTTTAGAATTTGTTCTTTCTCTTCTATATAATGTACGCTTTCTTCCTCGACCATTGGTTCATCCCCATTATTAGTAAACGACATTTAATTGTTTTCTTGACTCGTATCTTCTACGCTATCTATCTATCTATCAGTTTTCCTAATTCGTAAGGTAAATACCGGAGTAGTATAGACCATCTTAAGACCTTCTGCAGAGGCACCTCTAAATAGCATTATGCGGGTCACTCTGTAATTGGGCGCATGCCTGTTGAGGGCCCAAAACAAGAGAGGGCTAATAATAATAATAATAATCTTAATAATCTTGGTGTCAGTCCCATCAGAATTTGTTGTATCCTCAGTGCTCTCCCTCCATCTCTTCCTCTGTCTCTTTTTAGATTGTGCTCTCATTTTGTTCTTCATATCCATTTTCCGTTGCTAGCTACATTTTCATCTATTGTTTTCCCTTTTACCTTTTTATTCTCGTCTTACCTCGTTAGGTTCGTCTTTAGTGTCTTCTAAATTACTATCTTTGATTTCACCCCTTTGTTTTTCCATCTCCTCGTCACCTTCAACTCCGCAATATTTCCATCCATTTTTTCCATTTGCGCATTCATTTTTAAAATTCATCATCTTAATTATTTTAGCTGTCCTTTTTATTGCGTTTAGGATCTCAGCGACCAATTCTTCACATCCTCAGGGTAGACATCCCTTCCTTATTTTAAAAACTTCTTAAATTAACGTTCTTCTTTGTTATTTATGTCTTTTTATCTCGTTTGCTAACTTGAATTAAAATTATCGAAAGTTTTCTAAACGCCCTATCTTTTCGGGAGCCAAATAAATACTGCTGTATGTACCTTTATCTCCACCCGGACCCCGCTCATTGTTTTTGGCGTTTAGACCGAAATTCAAATCAAATATTTGAGTGACTTGGTGAATTGAATTACTTTTTCAAGTGAATTTACCCAGCTCGTGCTTTAGGATATGGGTAAAAAAGTTCTTGCGCTAATTGGTCTATTACCATAATATTATAGCAAATCTTATGTTAGCCACACAGCCAATTACCTGAGAACATTACCCCTATTAAGGACGCAGTGGACCGTTTCCATTTGACGCTGCCAGATAGCAGGAGTATTGGCTGCGCCATACACGGCATGAGTGGGCGAATCAGACCATGCGTTGGGGTATTGCGCGTTAAGGCGTGGCTGAATTTATCGTCAACCTCGAGATAAGTGTGACATCCAGGTGGCAGAAGAGGGTAGAGCTGCGCTTCCTGTTGAAAAGGTGCTCAATTTTTGGGATCAGGGACAATGTATGTATTGTTAGCGCCCACTCTTAGTCTTTGGGTCGATTTCCTTAGCGTCAGCTGCTCGTAGGGCTAGAGGAACGAAACATGCTCTGAAGAAGATGAGCGTGGTACTCTCTTCTCTTCAGTAACCTGGTGCGCTCTTCGTTCGTTTGGTTTAGACCTGCAGGCCTTGGCAATATGCCCTTTTTTGCTACACATCAGAGATTCAGCAAACATGGTGCTGGGATTGGTCGACTGAAGATGCTGTGTGAATCCGCCACAATTTCAAATGATCTTTTTGTTTTAGTTAATGGACACCGAGAAACCACTACTGATAAATGGCATCAAACCGATCTCTCCCGAACAAGAAGAACTCATACATCGACTTGTTTACTTCCAAAACGAATTCGAACACCCATCAGACGACGATGTGAAACGGATAATGGTAAGTTTCGATCCAATTGCCTCGCGCACCTGCGTTACGACTGCGTTTTAGAACCAACCGGTGGACGGAGAAGATCAGTGTGACATGCGGTTTAGGCATATTACTGAGATCACCATCTTAACTGTACAGTTAATTGTAGAGTTTGCGAAACGCCTACCCGGTTTCGACAAACTGCTACGAGAGGATCAAATAGCGCTTTTGAAGGTGGGTTTTGTTATTCCAATACCGGCGGTAGTTTAATTGTGCGTGTTCAATTTACAGGCGTGTTCCAGTGAAGTGATGATGTTTAGGATGGCGAGACGGTACGACGCGCAAACCGACTCCATTCTTTTCGTCAACAACCAACCGTACTCACGTGATAGTTACACATTGGCGGGAATGGGCGAAACGATCGAAGATTTGTTGCATTTCTGCCGAACTATGTACTCGATGAAAGTGGATAATGCGGAATACGCATTATTGACGGCGATCGTTATATTTTCAGGTAAGTCCGATATGGTTTTCTTCTTTCAGTTTAAAATTGGTCACCTGTCGGGTTCATTTTTATTATAGTTCCGACATGGCGAAGGCTTTCTCACCTTTCCTTTGAAGATTAATATGGAATTGAGTATACGGAACTTGTTCTGACTAGCGGATGGTGGTCTTCATCTGTAATTGTAAAAAACTAAATCGAGTCTAAAATTGGTCGTCATTTTCTAGTAGTTACATGGAGTTTTTCTGACCTTTCCCTTGAAAATTAATATGGAAATTGAGCCTATGGACCTTGTCCTAAATAGCAGATCATGTTTTTCATCTGTAATTGGAAAATCTAAATTCAGTCTATAATTTTTCTTCATTTTTGTTGTAGTTTTTACATGGAGAAGGTTTTCTGACCTTTGAGTGTACGGACCTTTGTTGATGGAATTGAAATGATTGTTGTAAATAGCGGATGATGTTTTTCATCTGTAATTGTAAAAAAATAAAGTCAGTGTGTAATTGGTCGTCATTGTGTTAAATTTTTGTTGGTAGTTTTTACATGGAGAAGTTTTTCTGACCTTCCTCCTGAATGGAAATTGAGTGTATGGTCCTTGTCCTAAATAGTGGATCATGTTTTTCATCTGTAATTGTAAAAAGCTACATTCAGTCTGCAATAGGTCGTTATTCTGTTCATTTTTCTTGTAGTTTTTGAATGGAGATGGTTTTCTGACCTTTGCCTTGAAGATTAATATGGAAATTGTTGATGTTACCTTTGGTCATGTTAAACACATTTCTTTTTATCATTAGGTAATTACAACTGTTGACCATTCAATTCGTCCAAGACTTCTTTATTAATTTAATCACAGATCTCATGAGGTTATGGGCATAGTATTGCGCGAATTTATTTTTGTTGGAACGTCGTTGTGAACGGTCATAACGGAAGTGTGTCGTGTGCGTAGTCTTAGCAAGAGAACTTAGTTACTGTCTGGATTATCTGTCATGGAAGTTTCGTCAGTTTTGATTGGAGGAACATTCCAATTTGGTTGATTAGAAGTTCTAAGTCAAAATTCAGCTGAATGTAAATGGCTGTATGGACATAGTGGAAGGTAAGGCGACGTAATCTACTGAACTGACTATAGATGCAACGCCCAAAATAAGTGGATTGTATGTTAAGGAGAAGGAAGCCTTCGAAAAACTTGAATTTGTAACTCTGAATATTATTGTCTTGGAGTTTGTTAATTCAGGGAAGACAATTGAGAATTATCTCTACTACTAGCAGGGAAATGGGGGACAAATTGCATTCGTTTATGAGTAGATCAGAGCAGAGGCTAGATCGCCTTTTCAAAATGTTACAAATGTGGTGAGTTAGGCCATTATAAGCGACACTGTAAGAATTCCAAAAAGTCTTGTCTGAAAAGAGGGCAAAAGTTGCACGTTAGTATAACTATTGGTACCTATTGCATTGAGGTAAAATATAACATAATATGATTGTTGCATAATCTGCTGTTTTTAAAATAAGTGTGTCTTAAATGGGTTCAATTCAAAAAGATTAATACATTTTTTGTATTTTTTGTTTGTTATTAGAACATTTTTAATGTTTAAAATATTGCTTTTTAAATTTTTTGAATCTTTAATTTTCTTGAATCACTTGAATCTTTTTTTAGTATATCATCCCTGGTGTGCTATAGTTCTGAAAAGAGAATTTAAATAGATTTTCGATAACTTAATAAACAAATAAGTTATAGGCTTTTATTTATACAACTTGTGTACAACTTTTGCCCATAACGCAAAAATTAAGGACTGCAGGCCAGTTTGTTTGTCAACATCGAATTTCTCTCAAAAAATACATCAAGACTGTAATCAATATAATCAAGGCCAAACTTGTTGACACCAGGATCAACTTCAGAATTCAAGACACGAAGGAAAAAGACTCATTGAAGGAAAAATGGTGGAAAACAACAGTGGAAACTCTATGGGAGATCCAAATTGAAGGTGCCAAGGAAGTTTATGTATTCAGTGTAACCTCAGAATGCTACACCATGATAGCTTATTATGAAGCTGAACTGTCAACGTACACCGAAGTCATTGAAAGTTCTCAAGCCAAAAATTGGAAAGTAGCAATAGTTGAGGGGGTAAATGCGCTCATTGAATTGCCTGACTAGTCTGTGGGTGTACCAGGTCAAGTGCAATGCGGATGGGATTGATTTCACTGAAACTTTTAGCACTACTGTGAGATGCGAATCAATACGTTCTCTGTTGAGTGTATGTGCACGTGAAGGACTCAAAAGTGATTTAATTTGACGTCAAAAGTGCTTTCCTTTATTGGAGAGTTGGATGTTGAACTCTTCATTAACCGCTCCTAGATGCTGGAATAATACGTTCCCCAATTTTTTGAGTAAGTGAAAATGGCCTGATAGTTAACAGGAATGAAAAAATTAGAGTTTGGATTCTGATCAAATTGGAATTGACTATGTGCGTTCAGATGAACAAGAAGCTGATCTGCTTACTAAATCTCTCACTAGACAGCGCCTCAAGAGCCTTCGTAGCATCATCGGAGTAAGTGAAGTGACTGTTTGTGAGTAGTGAATAGTGCTTCTATTCTGTAAAGACTTGATTTTTTAGGGGAAGTGTTGATGCAAAAATTAAATAACCAGCCCTTATAATGGTTTCGAATGTTGATGTGTTGGTATGAGAGTCATAGCAAATAGGTAACAGATATTGAAAAATGTCATATTGCCTTTTGCCATGTTAAATTACATTTGTTTTGTATCATTAATTACCACTGTTTACCATTCAATTTGTGCAAGACTGCTTTATTTATTTAACCAGAGATCTCATTAACCTTTTCCTAAGTAGGGGACGATGTTCTTCATCTGTAATGGTGAAAAACTAAATTGGTCGTCATTTTCTTCATTTTCATCACCTGCATGTTGGTCAGGGGTTATTGCATTGCGTGGTAAAAAATAATCCCCCACTCTTTTGACAGAAATAGTTTTGAAGAACCAGGAATCCGAATCAAACAAAATCTTGATGATGATGTTGGTTTGGTCTGCCCATACTCTTAATTTTGTCTAAACGGCTGAACCGATTGGACCCAAATTTGGTATATATGTTCTTAGATATAAAAGCTTTTGGGCAGAATCGCCGCATGCGCAGGTGGTATCTGTCATAGCCACAGCAAATTTTTATTTTTGTTTTTACATGTTTTCTGAATATTTGGTGAATATAACTTGTTCTGAATAAAGGGTGAACTTAATCAGTAATTTGCATCAGTAATTACAATAACCAAAACTAAACACTTTTCTTTCATTATGTTTACAGAGAGGCCGTCGTTAATCGAGGGATGGAAGGTGGAGAAAATCCAGGAGATCTATCTGGAAGCGTTGAAGGCGTACGTCGACAATAGAAGGAAACCGAAGCCGAGCACCGTTTTCGCAAAGTTACTTTCGGTTTTAACAGAGTTACGGACGCTCGGTAATCAAAATTCGGAGATGTGCTTCTCGTTAAAATTGAAAAACAAGAAACTACCGCCGTTCCTCGCCGAAATATGGGATGTGGATATGAGGACATAGTAGATGCATCTCTCAGATGTAGACCGGAAATGCCGGGTGGGTGTGATGGACGACGTGCAGTGCTTTACATATGAAACGGAGATACAGTTGTTTGCTTTCTACAAAGAAGTACCACGAGCGAGATTTTTCGTACGGTGTGTTAGCATATGCGAAGTCCGCCACCAAATTGTTGGCTGTGAAATATTGTATAATATACTTTTTTACTAACTGAATGTTGAGACGGCATCTAGAGAATGTTATTATTGAGTATAGATTTATTTAGATAATTGCGTAGAAGATAGTGCTCGACTTGAAAGATATACGTAGCTTTTATAAGCGTGTATAAATTACGCATCGTTTTATATATACTATTATACCAGGCGATTTGCTTACTTAAGATGTAAGACTGGATTGGACTGATATAAACAGAGGTGCCTTCACGACACGCATGGCTCACCAGACTGAGGGCAGGTGCAAAATAGGACAGTGGCATGATATCAAAATGTTTGTTGAAGAATTAGGAAAATTTTTAAATGATCTGTCTATAAAGTGCAATTCTTCGTGGAAGAACAAAAAATTTAGTGTTAGAAATCTGTGAGAAAATTGAATCTTTCGGGGTGCAGTAAAGTCACAAAAATTTAAAGAGGCATTGCGAAGAAACTATATACAAGGAAGCAGCCGTCCGTAGTATGTACATATTGGAAGTGACTCTGTCGGCAGTTTATCTAAGGCATGTGCACCAGTTACACTGGACATCTGTCATAGTTGCACTAAAAACTGTCCTGCCTTTACGAACTTTTTAATGTTTTAACACAGTAACTCTTGGTGTGTAGTTCTTAGCTTCTCATTTTGATACTATATAGTTTTCTTCCTGCAATAGTACTTCTGCTGCTAGATACTACATACATATATATACAAGAAAAATATACATATGTGCATTTAATATGTTCATATTTCATATTTTCATAATTCATTCGTGTAAGTAATCATATTTTCGTAAAAGAGAGAGAGATGTATTTTTGTTGGACGCAGAATTTATTATTCGCGCCATTTAATGCCTTATATCTGGGAAGCACTCAATATTTTTAACCGAGGGGTCAACCACCACACTGTTTTTAGCATAGTTACTGTTGTCAATTTTGTTTAATTTGGTGTCTTTCAAAATCCCGACAAAGGTTTGCATGCCACTGAGAAAATTAATGGATCTATGCATGTTTTTACTTAAAATGGATTGGCTGATGGGTAATGAACAATAATAGCTCTTGTACCCTCCTCTTGGTGCACAGAATTTTTAATTAATGCACCTTCTGCAGTTCGTGTTTCAAATTAGAAAATTTATACAGGGCTTCAATTGTTTTGGGTGCTGTTACTGTTGACTACCGCATCTTTGATCATTTCAAGACACGTGTTACATGTAAACAACGACTACATATATTCAGACGAAGCAGGTACAAATGAAAAATTCGTGTACAAAATTTCAGGAGCTCACAAGTGCATTAGAATGTTTTAATTACTTAAACCGGTGGACCCTTCCAAGTTCACTGCCAACAGGGGCTCTGTCTCTCTCATACATTACATGTGGTATCACCTTATCTCTCATTCAAGCGCAGGACTGTAGGTTGTTGATGGACTCCGACGTTCATTTACGATTGACAGCCTTGTAAGTGTATGTTAAACCTATGCAGCCTTAATCACGTTCGCCCCAAAAATTTGTCAAATTGTTTTCGAATCCTCGAACATGTTTTTCGTAAGCACAAATCGATGTAATAAATTCTTCTGCGAACACTGCCACGTTTGTTAGACTGCCACACATTGTCAACATTTCAACTGGTTAACGGCTGCACCGGTTGTCATTTATAATAAAACAAGAACTGCTGTTACTTGTATACACATTAAAAAAAATTCGTCGCGTTTTATTAATAAAACATTTTGTAATGAATGTTGTGTATACTTATATATACACTATAATATACCAATTAAGTTTCGGCGCTAGAATCGATCCGATTATTAGATTCTAGTGGGCAGATTGTCTAAAACGATCGAAAGCAAGTAACAGAATGCACACGCTTACTGCAACAGAAATCTTCGCATTCTCTCACTTGTTTTTCATTCTTTTACTTTAACAGACAATTAACGGTCGACTCAATTATTGCGCCCGCATAATCTACTGTTATCGATGTCGGCTGACAACTGTCTGTTAACTTAAAGGAAATTTAATTCCTTTTAAGAGTGAATTCATACTGATTTTAGATTAATGAAAAAGTGCAATATGTACAAATTCTACTAATTTACTTTTTTATATATTATTGGTTATAATTGATTATTATTAATTGATACTGTGTGTTAATTTTATACTGAGCGAGCTAGTGGCAGTATTATGTAAGTTTCGAGCCGGCACGGTTTTAACGATTCCCGTCTTGGTTCTGTACCATCTCCCATATATATTTACACAGACATGGTGATTCTATTTGAAACTATAAAGAGACGTTTCACTTTTTCTTCAGTTTTATAGAGGACTTTATTTTAATATTACTGTAACGATAGCGTCAAGTAGAATAACCATTCTTCAGACAAATTACCTGCAATTTGACCTTTAAAAATAAGAGTGTTGTAAAGCAATGAGAATGTTTCGATGAATATATTTTGTGCAGTAAACAGTAATTCGATAGTTTGTCTGTGTTTCATTTTCTTATGTTTTTAGATTCCTTTTCCATTGGCTACTTCTATCTTCTATTGATTAACTTTCACTTGGGTAGTAAATGTGTTCGCTTGCTCCCTCATATCGGTAACATGGTTGCATGGTGGGTTAACTTGCTCAACAGTTGAACCGATCATCATAAATTACGTGATTTATTCATTTACAAGTGACTTAACAATTTTATAACAGTCTTGAAATGGATTAATTTATAACAGAAATTAGTGTTTGTAACACGAGCACATTGACGTGGGAACTAACTTTAAACACAATTCGATTTGCATAGCAAACTACAATCTTTCTAAAATATTTTAGAGTGCTCCTGAAGACTTCCATATGTCGCGTCATCGGAAAGAATGCGTCACATCCGCCATAGTACGCCGCGACGTCTATCGGGATTTCTGGAATATTCGCTACAGTAAGGACTAGATCAAGGTTGTTCAATTTTATGGTATGATGTATATAATTATTATTGATGTGAGAGCTAGGGCCTGACAGCCCATTGGTCACCTAATCCCTTCAGGATTTTAGTGACGTCCCTGAGTGGTTTCTAGAGCATCCTCTATTTCATTTGGGGTCGGGTTAACCTAGTGGCAGCATCACAGTCACATGGAACCATGTCTATGATAACTCGGCGCGGAGAAGAATTCAGACAAAAAGACTGTACAGAGACACAAATTCCAAACGCACAAAACTGACCCTTCTTTACATCATGCACAAAACAAGCTTGAGTCGAGTATGAAAAATGTTTTCGTCTGGTTGTCGGTGGCGGCGCCATCTGCTGCTGTAGGGCTGTACCCTCTGACTTTCTGCAACGAGGCGTTGATAAATCTCTTGGTGTTGTCTCTTTTCACTGATTTATAACTTGCTGTGTGTGTCCGTTTTTATACCAAAATAAAGCACAAGCTTGGCCCCTAGTTTTTGAAATTTGCAATCGTCAAATATCAACGAACCCACATCCATCATAAATAAGTAGCATTGGTGTTTACGCCAGCTGGTCTTCACACTTGTGGGGAGGGATCACACCTAGCAGCGCCTCCACTCCACATTGCGGCTGTAGGATTGGTGGTAATCTGCTACTGTGATGCTCAAGCAGGTTAGCCGTGCACTAACTTTCTTTTAACTGTGCTTTGTGCTTCATTTTTTGCCACAGCAGCATAGGAGAACATGGCCTTGAATGACCGTCTGGTCATTTTTGGTAGGCTACAATTTTTTCCCCAATATCCTTCTGCAGGATTTGATTGATATTGTTTCTTTTTTACCAGCTTCCTTCGTATGATGAACGGCACCACCATAAGTAGATGTAGATGATTTAGCCAATAACAGAAGTTGTAAAACTTCCTCCCCCCCCAAGGATGACGACCAACGCTTCTTGGTCAAGCTGACTACCGTCGGCGTCGTTCAGCTTTGTTTCGAGGGAAATGCTATTGGACCTATAGTCTCATCAGTGGTTGCGTAAATGACACCGTACTCGCAGCCCAAGAAGCAAGACATACAGTAACAACTCCTTGTGGAGCTCGTAATACACCAAAAGGTACCCTGAGGAAACCACTTTTTTGTCATATTAAAAGGTTTAATAAGCTTCCGGGTCCACTTACATGGAATGTAGCGACTACTCATGGGATTGTATGGACGACAGCCTAAACAAACGATTTCTGAGATTCTCGTCAGGAGGAATCAACAAGCCGGGCCCTCAAATGGGACAGGCTTCTCGAAAAAGGGGATAGCGCCAACGCACTCTCTTATTCAAAGATCTGGTGGTAAAGCAGCAGGAGGAATAAGACTGACGCACAGAGCGTGGTGATCAGAAAGCGCCAGTTCCATGTCGATGAAGAGGTGGATCTTCCCTCGGCTGGCCTAGAGTTCCGCTGGATTCCGCATGGTGCCATTGTGGCCGGAAGCGAGGACCAGTGGACCATGTACTGGTTGGAGATGACCGTCCATCTTACTAGGCCCTGGAATGGCGCCTCTTTATTGAGGCACCAGGGTAACCAAGGTGATGCCTGTGTTATACAGGCTATTGGATGACACGTACAGTCGCCCACCATCTAGAAGCGCCTCCATAGGCAAAATTCTGGTTTCAAGATGATCATATGGGGACTGTTTTTCTGCCGCAGGAAGGAGCCGGTAAGGTACTACTCGCATTTGGTGTCGATGAGGCATTCTATCAGTCTACTCCAGCAGCAGGACTCCTAAGCGCCCTGGTTGTGCCAGGAAAGCAAGAGGGGTTTATCGAAGCAGCTTACTACGGGCGCCTCAGAGACAGCAAGATGTCGAAGCGCTTTTGGTTCGTGTGGCGGTTCTTGGCTCTCACGAGGGGTCGGAACCATCGGCATCACTAGGGAGAGAACCTATTAATCATTGACGAGATTACCCCCTGCAATTTGTAGCACAGTAAGGGGCGACCATATTCAACAAGCCGTCGACATTTGCTGTTAAGCAGAAAGGTTTCATACAAGAACCTTGGGTTTACAGGTAACAGGGGACGCGTAAGAGGTCTGGGCCCGGTGGAGGATTGTCTCTATTATAGCAGGTACAGTCAAGTGAACCCTGTAGGTAAAAAGGAGTTTATTCAAAAACTTGGGTTTTTTTCTTCTTCTAAGGAGGAAGGTACATACATAATAGGCGCTAAATAATGCAGGGTATTGCGCAGGGACGGCCGTAACCCGTTTAAAGGGATTTCTCAAAACATGGGTTTTTTTGAAAGAAATTCGCCTTACGTGATGGTTTTGTGCGTCCGTCTGTTCTTCGTCTAACTCGAGAACGAGATTAATATACGATCAGAGTTTAAGGGTCAGTGCTATTGAATATGAGCCGGATTGAAAGTCGCGTTACTGAATGCGCGCTGAGTGTCACAAAATTCCCCTAATCGTATGTGATTGTTCGTATCTTGTTTAAATGTTGGCGGCGGTTGTGGGTAATCTTCAGTTAAGAGACCCAAACTTTTAAGTTTACCATATTTATTCGCGCCAATCAATCAATAAAGCTTTATTATAATAATTAATAATAGTAGGGGATCAAATAACAATAGGGTTAGTAATGAACGAATGGTGCCATGGTGGACTACTCCTCTTCGGCTCTTCGTTAGTAAATGATTTATGACAGGTATAATACTGCTGGCACAGGTTATTGTGTACAGGAATCAGTTCGTGTGCTTAGTGCGTTGTGGGTCGTCGTCATACAGGTGGAGTACGCGGTCGGCGTTGAATTGATGATAGTGGTAGTAAGGTAGTTGCAGGTAGATTCAGGTTTGCCAATGAATAATTCAATGGGTTCGCGCGTCCTCATCTGAAAATAATTCCTGGGTAGGTCTTCGACTGGAGTTGGGTTAGGACTGTTAGGAGTATGGGAGGGTTTTTGAGAAAATTTTACTATTAAGAATAGTCGGACGCATTAGATATTTGATTAGAGTATCACAAATCAGAGTAGGTCCCATAAATCGGAGAACGAGACAGTACCAGATTGAAATCTATTTAGGGAATTTTTGGTCAATTTGCTTATTGTAACAATAACAAATTGTAATCTGTTTGTACTTTAGGGTGCATAGATTAACGACATCTCAGTGTAAGAAATTACTCTGAACTCACACACAAATCAGTTTGATGTGGCATTACATGATGGTACAGTGACTTTATAAAGTCCCTGTACATGATGGAAAAAGGTAGTGACATCTCACAGAAATTTGGTGAACTCAACCTTACGTACAGGTACAAGAGTTTAACGACAGAGGGCACTAAAGTAGTAAATGTCAATATCAGCTGTACGTAAATAATACGCATAATAATACGTGGTAGCGAGCGGTGTGGAAGTAATCAACAAAACAACTTTCTATCGGTTTTGAAATTAGAGCAGCAGCAGGAACAGGAAGACTAAATCTGCATTCTAAAAGATGTAGATTAAGTGATAGTAGTAAAAGAATGGAGGGTGTATTGTGGAAGTGGACTAATTATTGGAACGGTACTGCACTGTTATCTATTCCATTGCAAAATTGCGATAAAAAATTTTTTTAGGCTGGCAGACACGATGGTTTGTACTGGAAAATGGCATTTTAACGTATTACAAATCCCAGGAGGAGGTTAACAAAGGCAGCAAAGGCTCCATTAAGGTGCAGGCGTGCGAAATTATCGGTAAATTTGATGCACTCTTGTGTACACAAAATAAATTGCTCATTGTAGTGCACACTATCGACACAACACGCTTGGACTTGGACATTCCCGGTGAACAGCACTTATATTTAAAAGCGGCTACACCCCAAGAACGACAAGGTTGGCTAATCGCATTAGGAACCGCAAAAGCGTGCGTTTCGAATAGAAGCCGAAAGGATACAAGCGACAATATATTCTACAATAGCGAATCGGAGGTAGATACCCTTAAAAGTAAGAAGTCCGAACTCAGACTGTACTGCGATTTACTCATGCAACAAGTTCATACTGTGAAAACGGCAGCGAACGTGGAAGGAGGACCCGAAATTTCGAAAATGGACGAGGCGACCAGTTTGCTTACTGCAACATGTGATACTTTCATCAAGACGTTGGAGGATTGCATGAAACTCTCTCATTCGAATGTGCTGTACGAAATAACGCAACATAACGACGCAATCATACCCAACATCGGGGTGTCTAAGAAGGTACGTTTAGTGGTTGTACCATCGAATGATGATATACCTTTTTTTTGTAGAGGACAATTCTTCGGCCCCACTCGAATGATTGTTGAAAAATTCCGTTTGCCAAAATTGTTATGACTTTCATTTATGTCAAAATGGGTGTATGTGTGATCTTTAATGTTTATGTTACCTACCATACCTTAGGACTTAGGTAGCGTACTTAAATAATCTCATTATTTATAACATGTAAAAATATATGTTAATTGTGATACATAGAATATAACTCTTAATATAGGCAGACATTTAAAGGGTGGAAGTTAACATTCTAAAATGAAACTAACTATAGCAATTAAATGACAGATACAGATTCTTCTTGTTTTCCTTTCATTTCCTATGGGAGGTAGGATATTGTAATGGTAATCGTTACTGACTTTATTTACCTGTGTTCTGAATTATATAGATTGTGGTGGGGATAAAGTGAGTAATGAAAAATAAATTCGAAGTATTTGGATATGTTTGTAACATTGCAGTTATAATTACTTTTATAAATGCAGGTAATTCTAGCCAATAAGTGAGGCTGTAGTTCATGTATCATTTCATCTGAAACGCGTTTCTATTCCACGTGGAAAGGGTGAGTCTTGGTTACCTTCATTGGGTGACGCATCCAGAAGTTTCATTCATTTCCTTGGAAATATGGTAGGCCATGGAATGAGCAAGATGTACCGTTTTCAAGTCATTAGAAAAGGTCTTGTATGTGATTTTTAATTGAAAATCGAGGTGGCCACTTTCGGGTATGTCAAATATTCATTTCTATGGCTTCTGATGATTTTTTTTAGAATCAATTCACATGGATTGTCAATGATTTTCCGAAGGTGAAGGCAAAGAGTAATACAAATATTCTTTGGTGAAGGTAAGGCTATTGAATGACCATGACACAGTTCGATATGCACTACTTTATATTTGTTAAAAAAGGTTACCACAAATAATGATGCTGTGTTCAATGGCAGCTAAAATGAACCATACATAATAAAACACCTTAAACCCAGCTAGCGATCCTTTATCAACATTTTCACAGGACACATCTGAATCCCTGCACAATGAAAAATTTCAATCTCGACTTAATGGGCATGATCAAATTTCTTAAATTCCAAAAGGGTTACCTACTTACACATATTTTGTAAACACCTGAAATACGGATACGGATCAATAAAATTAATCATAATTAAGCATGAGACCATATATCTGGATCGTTAAAGGGTTCGAATAAACACACGGTTTACAGGAATTAAGACAGACAAACTTTATTCTAAAAAACACATCAAATTAATCACATAAAATTCTAGTACACAAAGTGGACTAACAAATAGTCCGTTTTACACACCCCGCTAAAGCGTTCGATTACCAACAAATGAATACAATCTTAAACTATATTTACAGTTTTCTGTTAGAAATTCCAAACATCCAAGCAAAAGAAAGCAAATTGCGACTGAGCACAAAAGCACTCATAGTCTTGGTGCACTACATTTTTCTGCATTGAATTGGACTGGGGCGGTACGGAGGAAGCACAAGGATTGGGAGGTCGAAAATTTGTATTCGTGTAACCACCAGAGATGACCCTCCATGACATGCAAAAGAAATTGTAACTACTTCTCATTTCGCAGCATATGATCAATTTTCGGTCTTTTCTTTACAAATGATCAGAAAACGAGCAAGCGCGGGTAACCTTGTACAAAATCGCCCCAAACGGCGAGATAGTCCTATGACGGCCTCCCTCGTATGGCGGCACTAACTTATAATAAATTAAGATGGACTGCTAATGCTGAATAACAAATGACACCTACATGGGGGCCGCCATGATGTGCACTCACTTGGCGCGAAATTCAAATCAACCAATAAACAAGCATTAACCCAACATTAACCTCACGTTTTCAATAAATTATTGTGACACATGTCATTTTCCAAGGCTGCAATAGTCTCAAAACGAGCACTAGGAAAATTCCCCTAGAAAATAACATCATGGCGGCGCCCATGCTAGGGCCATTTCTACCTCTATGTAACTGTTTGATCAGCAGTCCATCTTAATTTATAAGTTCATGTATGGCGGCAATCTGACATCAAGTCCTATATCTGGCCTTGCTCTTTGAACCACACGAGTTCAAAGGAGTTGCTGGACGATACTTGCTCTAATAAATGGATACATTCCAGCATAGAATTCGAAAATGTTCAACCATCCTTTTGTTGGCAAATGGCAGTCATAAACCTTCAGGGCACTTGCACATGATCAATTTCAGGCAAACCAAAGAGAACTTCCATACAGTTTTTGAGGGCGGTTCACATGGCGCCCGTGCAATCAAAAGTGCTCTAGTTCTAGACAGAACAACAGGGTAATCTCCATAAAAAAGTATAGGGGTAATATTACATCAGTACACAGTAGCAGGTGGTGTTAGATTAACTGGATGTCCCAGGAGGAAGGGACAATATTTTGGGAAATTACAGTAGAGGTTATTTGAGGACCAAAACGGTAATAAACTACATTTTTATTTTTGACTGTTTTGAAGATCAAGTCATTTTAACTACCTAAGGCGGCTATAAATCAATTGTCTCTAGCTTAGTCAGCCTGGGGTAACAATTGATTTATTAAATAAAAATTGTTGTCTATATCTTCTAAACGGTTGAGAATACTTTACTATAATTTCCCAAAATATTACCCATTTCATTGGGACACCCTGTATAAAAAAATACAGCCTGTAAAAAGTATTAATTTATTCGGGGTAATAACAGCCAGACTAATTACGTTAAAAGTATCTTTATTGTACTCCTTCATTCCATTATACATAATACTTAAGAGTGATAAATTCATTAGAAAATCATTTAACAGCGTATATACATTGTTCACCAATAAAACTTGGATTTCTGTTGGGCACTTTTAAACATTTTATTCCAATCCGGAGTTACCATCAGATTTTCAGTTACATTTCCAAGAGTAACCAACGATGGCTCCAGAGAAATACTTTCCTTTCCAGGAAACTGTACGGCGGTCTAATAAAAAAATGACAAAACCAACGGGAAAGTTTGAAAGTCGACCTCACCTGCTCAAAGCACTCCGGTTCGGCGACGCGTAGACGAAATTCTGTATTCTGCACTACGAAATCCATTTTTCCTGATTTGTGAACACAAATCTTACCAATCTGACCTTCGGGTAGACATTTTAGGGTGTAATCGAGATCGGTTTCTTTGGCATCGTCGCTCCATACCTTTCCAATGAATGTACTTGGCAACTGCGAACAATAGTCACTTGATACCCGAAGCAACTTAGCAAGTGTGACGTACCTCTATTAATGAAAAAACGAGATTGTCATCGTCGTATTTGGTTCCATCGTCCATAAACGCACTCTGTGGACGGATTACTACAGGTTCCGGATTTTCTACCTTAACATCCGCTTTACAATTGACTAATAGTTGGGTAGTGTCATTCTGATCGCTTGGAACTTCAGTTTTAATTTTAATCAGCGGTTCTTTTTTAAGAGAAAATTTGCTGGAAAACGGTTCTAGAATGACGATAGTTAGTAGGCGATTAATGAAGGTGCACCAACTCACTTTTGTTGCAGCTAAGTGGTAAGACAACTGGAAAGTAATCATCGTCCGATTCCGAATCGGTGTCATTGTCGTATAGCAATTCAGTAGCACGTTGATCATCATTTTTGATGACCTTAAGTTTAAAGTAAATCGTAAGTTTGTAATAGCCGCAACGTACTTACTTGGCCTTTATTAATTTTCGGTATAGCGAGCGACGTCGGATTTGAAGCATATTGAACCCTTATATTTTGAGAAGTGGAATGTTTTGCCTCCCCTACACCTTGCGAGAATACCCCATCCGACTGTATGTATTTTACCTTGTTGTTTGTGTGTTTACTATCTTCCAGGCGTCTCTTCTGAGGTCTCTGTGCAGGTGGTTTCTTTGCAGTAGATCTGTACATCAGCGAACTTAATGAGCAGTTACACAACAGAGATACTTACTGGGTTTGTTTCTCTTTATTTCGAATAGCATTTAAGTTAGGAGTGTACACTTTTTTCGGTTTTGTGCCACCCAAATTAAGATTCCTTGGCAGTTTCAGGGATTTTAAACGTCCAATTGACATCTTATCATGTTTAATCATCTTCTTTATTTCGTCCAGGTTAGCAACACCATTCGCAGCAGGTTTCTCCATACTACAATAAGAAAAATGCCACAAGGGCCTTGGTCACATTTAACAAATTTAATCAAACGGACTGGTTAGCATTAGCATGACAAAATAAAAACAAATGTCATTCGTTCTAAAAAGCATTGTGAATGATTTTATGAGAAATGCCACACAGTAGTGCAGATGTGGTGTAGTAGTTCAAATTAAACACTAACGCTACAGGTTGGTCTGATTATATTACAATTGAGTTAACACAGTCTGGTTTTTTAACATATGGTTAAAAAGGGTGCAAATTACAAATTAATCAAAAAGTTCCCTTTTCGTACGAGAAAAATGAATGAGCCTAGTTCTCAAAGCTGTGCAATGGATTGCGTCTTTTAAGACTTTGAAAACCCCAAACCCTAAAATATCTTCAAATTCGAAGATGTTTCTTTTTTTAATGATCAAATGAACATATGTCCTCATCAGTGTTGATTTGTATGGTTAAAAAACCGCACATTAAATGCAGAAAGTTTTAGATGCGCCACGCATACCTATATATACCTATATAGTTTGTTCATCTGATTACAATGATTTACCATATGGTACGTTTCACCTTTAAGATTCCGTCAAAATATGGAAACCACAAGCATTCTTTTGTTTAAAAAGCACATTATTTGATTAAATTCAAGAATTATTTATTTTTTAGAAATGTATTATGTTTCTTGGGAAAATTCCTTTATGAAGAAGAAAGAAAACAACCTGGTCAAACTATTTTCTAACGAACACAACTTCAGACAATATTTTGACTAAATATGTGTACTATATCAAATTAAGGAGTTTATTCCAATAATAATGGATAAAACTAAACTAAAACATAAGCTGAAAGAAGAAGCTTTACAAAAAATGCTAGGGTAGAGGTATACATCATCTAAAAAATAAATACAAAAATAATTTTGAGCAGGTTGTGGCCTTTCAGGTTACCCCTCTAAGCATGTTTGTGTAGGTAATATGGGCATTTGGGTGCGAAGCGTAATAGATTACTAACATTTCTCGTTTTTCTTCATTTTAAAACGGCATTTTATCAAGAAACTTGCAATAAATTTTAACGAATTGTCAAAAATTTGGATTGGTTAAACAAAAGAATGCATGTTCTTTCCAAAGCACTTTTTGCAAAAACGGTTTTTGTATACTTTGACGGAATCTTCATATGATACATCATTGTAATCACAGAAAGACGAGATTTATTCAAACATCCAATACGGCTGCCATAAGAAATAAAAAAGTTATCTACTGTGATTTCCAAGTCTAGAGTGCCTTGTATTTTTCGATGACATATTTGAATTCTTCATAAAAAAGTGCTTTAATAAACGTCCACTTTTGTCGTTTTCGAAATAAAAGGGAAAATCGAAAATTTCTGTTTTTTTCAAAAATCACGGCAACCTCTGAAGACATCCGAATTTTCTTAATGGTATATTATTATGGGCACGCAAATTAGCCACAATTAAAACTAGATTGCATCTCTTCAAATAACCAAGATCCCTCCCCATGTTGTAGTTCGAAAAACGGATTCTGCGTTTTTAACGTCGGAAGTGGATACCGACAAAGGGAATAATAGTAGCCCCCGACACGATCTTACTGATGGCGGAATCAAAACTTCGAACGCGCATTGGAAGTGGATACCGACAAAGGGACTAATAGTAGCCCCCGACACGATCTTACTGATGGCGGAGTCAAACTTCAAACGCACATTGGAAGGGAACGGGACATCGGAAGTGGATACCGACAAAGGGAATAATAGTAGCCCCCGACACGATCTTACTGATGGCGGAGTCAAACTTCAAACGCACATTGGGAGGGAACGGGACATCTGAAGTGGATACCGACAAAGGGAATATGGTAGCCGCCGACACGATCTTACTGATGGCGGAGTCAAAACTTTAAACGTGAATTGCGGGTTCGACATATGTATCCCAAAAAAGCTGAGATATTAATGAAATAAATCAGATCACACCAGTTGAATTTGGCCTGTAGAATCCATAATTTCAAACAGTTTCAAGATTGGGCTACTATTTTAAAAGTTACAGCCCTTTGAATTTTCTTTCGAAATTGGTTTCTAGTCTATAACTTTTTATTGAGAAGTCTAATCGAAAAAGTACGAATTGTTTTGGATTCTACGCACCAAAATTAAACAAAAAGTATTTTCTCGAGAAATTTTGGTGCAGTCGATTTTTGGTAAAAAAGGAAGGTTGTACACTGCCCTTTTTTGAGGCCCTCAAAAAAAATTGTCTCAGATCGATCCGGGAAAAAATTTTTCTTATAGAATGTGGCCTGTAGAATCCATAATTTCAAACAGTTCCTATATTGGGCTACTAGTCCAAAAGTTACAGCCCTTTGAATTTTCTTTCGAAATTGGTTTCTAATCTATAACTTTTTATGGTGTCGAAACCGATTTTAAAATGTGTCTATTACAGTTATGCCCACTCAATAATTTGTTATGGAATAATAGCGTGGGGCCACTCCACTGCAATGAAGAGAATATTTGCGATGCAAAGAAGGTGTGTCCGAAGTGTAGCTAGTGCTGGATACAGCAGAGAAGACTGTCGTTACATTTTTCAATCTTTCAAAATTCTTACAGCGCCTTCTCAGTACGTACTAGAATGTTTGGTGTATGTTCATAAAAATAAATTAAATTATGTAGCCCATTCAGACATCCACAGGTACAACACACGTAACAGCAATAATCTTGTATGCGCGAAACTTAGACTTAAAAAATCGCAAGCTGCACATAACTACTGGGGGCCAGTGTTTTATAACAGGTTGCCTGATCACATTCGATCAGAAAATAGAAAGATTTTCAAAAACAAAATAAAGGCTTTTTTAACTGAAAACCCCTTATACAATATTAAAGATTTTCTTAACATTGACGTTAAATTATAAATTTTAATATTTCTTAGAGTTTACGTTTTATGTTTTATGTTATAGCAAGTCTCTGTGTTTTATATTTATATGTATTGTTCTGCTTTTATGACGCGTGTAAACATTACTTTTAATGTACTAGCACAATGAATATATTATTATTATTATTATTATTATTATTATTGAGAAGTCTAATCGAAAAAGTACGAATTGTTTTGGCTTCTACGCACCAAAATTAATAAGAAAAAGTGTTTTCCCGAGAAATTTTGGTGCAGTCGATTTTTGGTAAAAAAGGAAGGTTATACACTGCCTTTTTTGAGGCCCTAAAAAATTGTCTCAGATCGACCCGGAAAAAAATTTTTCTTATAGAATGTGGTCTGTAGAATCCATAATTTCAAACAGTTCCAAGATTGGGCTACTAGTTCAAAAGTTACAGCCCTTTGAATTTTCTTTTGAAATTGGTTTCTAGTCTATAACTTTTGATTGAGAAGTCTGATCGTAAAAGTACGAATTGTTTTGGATTCTACGCACCAAAATTAATAAGAAAAAGTGTTTTCCCGAGAAATTTTGGTGTAGTCGATTATTGAAGTACAATTGCTCTACAAATCCACATTTTCAACTGCCCTTTACGGAAAATTGAGTCGGACGTGGCTATTAAGTGCATAAATTAAAATGTTCTTGAGAAGGTAGTTACGTACGTGGCGACATCTCATTAGAACAAGGTTCAACTATTACAAGAAATTAATTTGGAAAAGTATAGGGATTACCAAAGAGATGGCGCAAATGTACCAATTGCATACACACAAGACAATTCCAGATACTGGATCATTGAAGTACAATTGCTCTAGAAATGCTACATGAAATTGCACATTTTCAAATGCCCTTTACGGAAAATTGAGTCGGACGTGGCTATTAAGTGCATAAATTAAAATGTACTTATGAATGTAGTTACGTACGTTGCGACATCTCATTGGAAGTGGTTCAACTATTACAAGAATTTAATTTGGAAAAGTATAGGGATTACCACAGAGATGGCGCAAATGTACCAATTGCATACAAACTACTATTATATACAGGGTGTTCTACAAGTAAATATTGGATTACAATTATAGGCACTTATAATACCACCTCTTATGGCCGTTTGCACCGACAAATTTAAGTGGAGCTTAGCTTAAAATCCATGGCAACGATTATTGAGACAATGGTTGCCAGCTCCACTTAAATTTGTCTGTGCAAACGGGCATTAATACAATGTTTAATTTAAATTGTTCAATACATAAACGATGTTTGTCACTTAGCTATCATATTATCAGTTGCTATATAATCTACTTTGACAATACCTTTATTTATAATTTTGTGTATGTAATGATACTTAGTATAATAGTATCATATGTTTAGTTCGACTATGATAGACAGGGTTCTTGATAAGCTTTTCAGCACTGCAACACGAGAGAGTTACAAAACTGGGGAAAACAATAAAATAAACATATGGGTAAGACAAGACAAACCCTATGCTGCTGCTGCTGGTTTCACAATCTGGATAACCGACTCCGTACTAGCCGCTTTTCTTATTAGTACAAATGAGTGCTATTGTACTGTAACGTTATTTATAAATTCGGGTTCGATTTATATCAATATTTATTAAACAAAATTAAAACACTATCAAATCCGTACAATTTATATCGATTATGTATATCACACACTTCGAAATTTATATCAGCTTTTCGCGCTCCATGTTTCGTCCTTACTCGATCTCGTTCGATAGTAGACTTCCGCGATGTTCGGTCCGCAACCATTTATACACGCAAGCAATGTAAGTCCAGTACATTCTCGAATATTTCTACTATCGCGCGCGTAGAAAATTCCAGAGCGCCAAAGGCGACGTCTGGAGCATTTCCGTTATACTGCCCCCTTCTTAATTCTGGACGTCTCGTTCAGAAACTGCGTTAGTATTACTTTTTAATGCCTCGTGTCGGAATCTGCAGTCAGAGCCTGCTCGACAAACACTTTTCTTGAAAAAGTAGTCCACAGTTTTGCGGAGGGTCGTCCCCTGTGGGTTGAAGCAGCACTCTGTAATTCGAACGCTAGTGTTTCTAAAAATCACGCCTTGTACCTGTCCAGTAAACTGTCTAAAATGAACTACATTATAAGAAATCTAAAGCCTAGAGTAACAAAGCAGGTCTTACTACAAGCATACTATGGGTACATCCACTCCACATTATGCTACGCAGTACTGTGTTGGGGACATTCCGTCCATG